CCCAGTCTCAGGGAATTTTCACCTTGGCCTTGGCCTAAGGGAAGCCTCGCTCCAGACCACCCTCCACCAGACCCTCCAAAGTCTGAGCACAGCCTCCTCCCCCAGGACAATCGTACCACAGATTTCCACCTAAGAGGCTTCAGTCGGCTGGGACACTGGAAAGGCCAAGGCCCAGCCACTCAGGAACCTCCAGTAAGAATGCAAATATGAAATGCTCCAGGGCTCTCGCACCCTGGGGAGTCAGCCAGAGGACTGCTAACGCCGAGTGATTAGGAGACTCGTCTTTGGGTAGCTTTTCAATGGAAACCTGGACGCCACTGTCCTATCTTCAGGGCCACTGAGAAGCTGGCATGGGATGGAGGCTAGCTTCCTTGGGGGCTACTCAAAGGAAAGTGATGAATTATCTGCAATCAGGGGAGTATCATTGAGAAGAATCTATTTAAAACAGGTAAGTGGTTATAAGCTTGTGAGTAAAGAGTCCTTGACAGCCCCATTCATCTCTACCCCTGTATCCATCTGCCCCACTTTACACACCATTCCTGCCCTCCCTTCCTCTCGCCCTCCACCGGTCCCCTCTGAAGCACATCCCCACCCCACGTATGCACACGCAGGAAGATTTCCTCGAAACCCAGAGAGTCTCTCGGCCCCGGCAGTGTTGGCGAATGAGCTTCTGGTGTCTAGCCAGCTCCCGATCTTCTCGGTCATCAATTCGACACACGTTTATCGAAAGCCCCCATCACCCATCGCCACTCATCAGTAACCCAGGCTGTTGCGAGCAGTGTAAAGCCACGTGTTCTGCAGAGCCCCGCCCCATCCCAGACTCCGTTAACTGCAGTGAAACCGCTGGAGCCCCGGTCCATTCAGAACGCACCTCCAACCTCCCTCTTGATGTGAGCGTGACTGGGGGCGACTGCCGAGTGCCAGGAGGGACAACACCTCTATTTCTGTGCCAGTGACATGAGGAAGAACTGAATTAAACCAGGCTGTGAACGCCTTCGGGAGCCACAGAGTTTGCCTAAGCACAGGGGGCTGTGCCAACTTCCTGGACTCACCAGGCCCTGGGAGCAAATCCTGGACTAGCTTTTACAGGCTCTCTGCCCCTCTCTGTCTTATATTTATCTTCTTTCAGGTCATGGCTAAAGCTTATAAGGCTTGGGCCTTAGAGACTAACTGCTGAGGACAGCCAAGCTGCATCTCCCAAAGGCTGCCTTTTGTTTGGGTGTAAGGCCCGGCGGCAAACTCTTTCTGTAAAGGGCCAGACAGTAAATATTTTAGGCTCACTGGGGCCATGTGGTCTGTCACAATTACTCAGCTCTGCTGCAGTGGTGAGAAAGCAGTAGAGACAAAACATATTCGGATGAGCATGGCCGTGTTCCAATAAAACTTTATTTATGAAAGCAGACGGACAGCCAGATTTGGCCCCCCAGCTGGAGTTTGCTGACCCTGGTTTACAAGATTGTTCTCTGGACTGGACTCGTCATTGACCCCCCATCTCAGCTTGTGGTAACCACATCTTCATGCTCTGCCCCCTCTCCTGACCCCAGACATCCTCCAGAGCTGAGGCAGACGGTGGGGAGGGCTGAGGACGGGGGATGTGTAGGGGTGGGGTAGAGGGGGTGAGGAGGGAGGGGAGACGAGCCAGGCACCGCACTGGGTGTTTGTACCTCACGTAATCCTCTCAGTGTCCCGTGAGGGAGCTGACTGGTGAGAAACCCTGGATCCGGGGAGGTTAACTAACCTTTAAGGTCACTTGGCTGCTAAGCAGTGGAGCTGGGCTGCACCCACTCCTTCTGAGCCCAAGTCCACTCCTCCCGAGGCCCCTGATACAGCAGTTTCCCCATGATCAACAGGGGCCTGGCCATCAGGATGCCCTCTGCAGCACCTTCTGGCCTCCTAGTGTGCCCAGCAATCCTCAAATCGGCCCCCAGGGCCGGGTCCTGCTCAGAGTGCTTTCGGTGGAAGGAGGCAGCCCCGGCAGGAAGGTCTGACCTGGGGGGTGCTCTGAACCACCACCCCCAGTTCATCAGTCCCCACAGCAGGACTGGGCCCCAGAACTCCCCTTGGCTTTGGAGGGTCGAGGAGGGAAGCCCAAGGTCAGGGCAGGCCCTACCTGATGATGCTCCACTCGGGCTCGATCCGCACGATGGTAGGATCCTCCATGTACTGGAAGAACAGGTCCTGGTGGATCTTGGCCCTGTCCACCTGAACCATCACCTTCATTTCCAGCACCTCATCTGAGGACGTGGTGTTGCACACGATGTAGGACGGAGAGCGCCTGCGGGAGGGAGATGGGGAGCTGGGCTCCTGGGTGTTGTTGGGCGGGACACTGTGGTCCTCGGTCGGGGCCCTCCCATGCCCCTCCCTGTTCATCAGGCTAGTCAGAGGCAGTGGGGGAGCAGCGCCCCGACACAAAGCCCTGAGAACTACTGACAAAGACCCTCTCCTTGACCAGACTGTAGACGGCTTCCTCTGAGCCCCCTTTTCGACTAGGCTTCTTCCTGAGGCCCTGTCTTTGATTTGCCGACCCCCATTTTTAGCAAGAATCCTGCTAACTTAGTTTGGCAAGAACCGCCCCCTCCCCCCCGCCCCCCCCCCATATTTTAACAGGCAGAGCTAGAATAAGTTATTACAAATACGTCTTAAAAGGAAATGTAATATTTTTCAAACTTTAGTTTTATAGTTTCAGCTATTGTGTATAAAGATTAATATCTTAGTACCTATATATTAACTTCTGGTCTTAAAATGAAAAATGCAGACAGAAGAACAAAACTGTACCTACAGTTTGTTTGTTTTGCTTTACATATAATTGGTGTCATTTTTTAACAGTAGTTTGAAAACTAGCCATGATGGTATTGCACTAGGTACCTCCTACATTTACCTCATTGTATCTTCTCAATAATATTAAAAAAAGGCATGCATGAATTTTCTTACCTTACAAATAAAGAACATTAGGCTTGGAAGTGGTCAAATGTAACAGCCAAATCACGCAGCTCACAGGTGGCACAGCTATGATTGAACCCAGGTCTGTTTTACTCTGACACCTTTGTTATTTTTAGTGCGCTATACACAAGAGCATCAGATTACATGTTCTGAGTACACTTATCGGATTTCTTTTCGTAGACCACCCTTCAAGAGAATGGGTTTGATAATTTAGATAATAATTCTGTGTTTTCCTGTGTGAATCTAAGCAAGTTATCCAACCTCTTACAGCCTGTTTTCACACACCCCCGGATATCTGAGTACCCTTGATATCTAATCAAATTCCGCCTCCTTAACCCTTGATGTCTGGTCACCCTGACTGCCTCTTCAGCAAGAGTCCTGTTAGGTCGGTTTAGCAGGAATCCTCCTAACCTCGTTTCCTCTTAGTAATTTTCCATCCACTGCCTCCCTTGCTCTGCCCCTTGGCTATAAATCCCCAGCTGTCTGCTGTACCTGGAGTCAAGCCCAATCTCTTTCTCCATTGCAACAGTCCTGACACCTATTGCAATAGTCCTGAGCAAGCTCTTCTTTACCATTTTAACAAGTGTCAGAGCCATTTTTTTCTTGAACACTCAGGCAAGGCCTGGCCTGGCCTGACTTCAGATCTCTCGCAGCCCTCAGCATAGCTCTCTCCCAGGAAAATCTCTCTCTGCAGAACCTCATGCCAGCGGCGCAGGGAATATCCCCAACCGCACCTCTTCTAGTCCTGCATTAGGGGCACCTCTTGCCTCCCTCCCTACCCTCACCCCCGCCCCAGGTTCCTGGCTCATGGACCGTGTGCTCTCCTGGGACTGGATGGTGGAACCAGGGGAGGGAAAGTCGGATGCCCCTGGAGGTTCAACCTCAGCCAGCTCTCGGCAGTCCCGGCTGGCTCTGCAGAAGCTGGCCAGGAGCTAACCCTGGGGGAAGGGGCCCTAGATTCCAAACTGTGTCCCGTGGAACCCTAGGGTCCTGCACAGTGGGTGGTATGCGGGCACCAAGGCTAAACGGTGGGCAACGGCACGATGGGCCGTTGCAAGGAAGGGGTGCCTGGCAGGTCCCCGGGCTGAGCCACAGCCAAGTATGCCCAGAAAGTCCTCTCCCAAAGCGAATGGCCACTTTCTCAGGCAGGAGCAGGCACCTCCAGAAGGTTAGCCGGAAGCCTGCTGCCTGTCAGCCCCGCCCACCCTCTGGGCTGCGAACCCTGGAGCCTGCCCTGAGGTGAGTTACCTGTGGAAGAGGCAGGGCTGCTTCCCAAACATCACCACCACGTTGCTGCCCGCGTTCAGGTTGGTGCCCGTGATGGTCACCTGTGTGCCTCCGGACATGGGCCCCCGGCTGGGCTTCAGGTCTGAGAGAGTCAGCGTCTGCGCAGGAAAGGATCTGGCCTGAGGATGCTCCTGGGTAGGCCTGAGGCAGAACCCCACTCCCGGATTCCACTCGCGTTCTGGAATCCTTAGTCATGGCGGCCTCCCAGAGAGCAGGCTCAGTTTACCAAGGCCTGTGGGGACTGGTGAGCATGTGCTCCTCTACACTGATAACAGTCATGATAATATTAGCTACTATGTAGTGACCTTTAAAGTGACAGGCTTTATATTTTATGTGTATCTATAGTGAGATATACATTTTTAAAAAATCGCCCAATCTATTCTACAAGGTAGATTATTACCCATCTTAAAGACAAGGTTCAGAGATGTTACGTGAAGTTTCCAAGGTCACAGAGCAAAGACGTGGCCTGAGAACTGACTCCAGAGCTGGAGTTCTCCGCCACCTCTCCAGTCTCCAGCGAGGGTCGCTTTCAGGAAGGTAAGCTGCCCCTTGCACAGGCCTCTCCAGAGAGCTGCCCAAAGCACCCAGCGGCCAGAGCAAGGAGATGTGTGAGCCCCAGGGAAACCCAGGAGGAGAAGCAAAGAAGGGTCAGTGGACTGAGTGAAGAGTCAGACTGGGGATGGCGGTGGGGATGGGGGAGGATCTGTGAGCTGAGGATTTGGAGTCTCAGTTTGTTCTTTCATTAGCATTTTAATGGAAAAAACTTTCCTAAGTCCCAGGTGAGAAGCCTGTATCTGCATTTAAATGAAGATTTCTCTCTTCTCTTACTCCCTTAAAGAATTCTGCACCGAAAGTTGAACCCACTCAGCTCCTCGGAGCGGGCAGGCAACCTCCTCTCCGAGAGGCCTCGATCGATGGATAACACTAGGGGAGGAGGAGAGAAGCCCCAGCGACGCCTGCAGCCCCAAGGCCTGGCACGTGTGCGCCCCGGGCCCCGCACAGGGCGCGCGCGTGGGGACACGCAGGGACCCACGGGAACACAGGCAGACCTCTGCGCCCGGCGTCCGCTCAGCGCAGGCGCACTCGCGGGCCCCGCCCACCTGGTCCCTGCAGATCCCAAACCTGGCAGCCCCGTGACACCCACCAAGCCAAGCCGAGGAACGGCTTATGCTGGCTCTGGCTCAACCCGAGACCCGCGCTAGAGGGGGCATGAGACTGCTGCAAGAGCCTTCCTTTCTCAGCTTTGCCTGCAGCGTGCTGTGTGACTCAGCACAGGTCACTTACCCTTTCTGATCTCAAAGAATCAAAAAGTGGTCCTCTCAGAGGTGCCTGACTGTCTTCTGGTTCTAACTTCCCACAGATGGTGCCTCCGCCCCACTGTCTGTAAAGGGAGAGCTTTCAGACCTGGCTCCTGCTGACCCCCCCAGAGAGGAAAGGGAAAGTGAGGGAGTTACTTAAGGGTTAAGGGGCAACGTGGAAAGGAGAACAAGCCCCCTGGCAGCCTAGGGGTGAGGGTCCTGGAAGAGGTACAAGTGAGGAACCCTGATGGCTTTGCAGTGGCCCTCCTGCGTGGGGCTGGCTGGGTGCTGAGTTACTCTGGGGGTGGGGAGAGGATGACATGGAGACATGTTTTAAAGCTGGGAGAACCTATTAATTATTCAAGGTTTGCTTCATAACTCTTTTCCAGCGGGTCTGCACGGGAAACCAGATTCGGCGTTATTTGCCATCTCTTCCCTTGTCTCCCTCCCTGGATGGAGGCAAAGGGGGGAAAAGTGTTGCCTCTACAGAGATCTCCAGGGATAGAACTGGCAACAGCCCAAGAGTGCTGATCTGCGGTCTATGGGCCTTGGTGTCGGGCTTTTGGATGAATAAACCCACACATCAGAGCCTGGCCCGATCTGTGGAGGGAAACTGAGGCCGACCCAAACCTCGGCACTGGGAGGGGCTCCCCAGCATCCCCAGGCCCTGAGAGGCACCCCTGAAAAGGGGCTCGCCAGGGGCTTCCATGGGGGTCCCAAGAGTGCCACCTGCCAGCTGCCCAGCAGGGTGGGAAGGCATTGAAGGCTCGGAGGTGTTGTGGGTGGGCATGTGACAGAGGGGCATTCTGTCCTTCCTGCCTCCCTGGTGTGACTCACGGGGGACCTCTGCCCCTCATTCCCACCCTGAACCCCTCGGAGCTCTGTTGTCGGCAATGAGGGGGTGTTGCTCAATGACCAGGTCCTTAACGCAAACTGGAGTCTGGGAGGAGACTGGGGTCCACGGCACCATTTCTCCCCGCCGCAGCTCTTCCCGAGCGGGTGTGGAGTGCCAGGATAGTGCCTCCAATAGAAAAGTGAACACGAGTCTGAGTCCCAGGGACCCACTGGACCAATGCATTTTCGCCTTGTGGCAACAACTTGCACCTTCCCTGCTCTTCTGCTCCAATTTCCCCTCGTCCCCGTCAACCCCCCTCTCCCCACTCCCTTCTGTTCCCATCTTTTGGTGCCCTTCCATGTCACACCTTATGCCGGGAACAGCCTCCCGCTACTCGAGATCCATATGGAAAACTGTATTCTGCCTTAGACAGATCCTGCCTTTCCTGCTGGCTCCTTCCATGAAACCTTCCCTTAATACCTTACATCCAACCACATCCTGCTCCCAGGGTAGAAACACTCATGCAGGCAAGACCTTCCCTGAGAGCAGAAGGGGCTTTTGGCTGTCTACCACATAGATGTGTTGTAAGAATTAAGCCCAAGAGCAGGTATCACAGAAGGAGCAGCTGAAGAAGAAGACAGAGAAGGAAAAAGGGAGTCAGGCCACTCGAAGGCTTGCGGAAGGACCGGATAGGCAGGGCAGAGCAGACCAAGGAACCTGGACAAGTCTAGAGGCAGTGGGCACCCTGGGCTCTTCCTGAGCTGGGGGCTGACATGATGAAAATGGTATCACCCAGTGTGGCTGGACTAGAATGGGTTCAGACCAACGGCAGGGATTTAAGGGGGCCACTGCAGTAGCAAAGGGAATGGGAAAAGTAAGACTCCAGGACATGGTGATAGAGGGACTGGCATCAGGAATTAGGGGAAGTCGAGCCACAGGCCACCAAGATGGTGGGCCCGGTGACAGGCCACTGACAGAAATGGGCAAGGGAGGGGGACACGCTGTTTATGGGAGCTGACGGCTCGGGTGGACCATGGGAGGTGATGGCAGGACATCCAGGGGGCGGTGGCCTTTGAATTAGTCACAAAGGTAAGAAGCCTGGCTGGAGACACAGCAGAGACAGCTGAGGCCCAAAGGAAACCTCAGCTTAATGAAATAGCGGCCGTTCCTGGTAGCGTTCACTTTGTCACCGCCAAGAGACCACAGGATAAAAACTGCTCCAGGTAACTGAATGGCCAACGAAGTCCAGTGCTCGCTTTGGCCATGCAGCGGTGTCCTCCCTTTTACCACAGCGGCCAGGTAATTTCAGAGCCAGATTTCACGCCCAATTTTCGTATGCCACGCCACACCTCTCAACTGCTTGGGGAGCGCTGTCTGTGTCTCTACCCACCTCAGGCTCTCTCGCCCTCTCGTTATCTCAACTCTGCTGGAATAACAATGTCTGTGTATATAAATTTTATATATATATATATATATATATATATTTATGTAAATATATATACATTCATCACTAGTTGGCTTAAGGTATATTGGGTTTAACTTGGAAATTCCCTCAAACCCGTACAAATGCTAAACGAATAGGCAAAACTATACACATCCACTAAATCCATGACATGTGTGTGTTCCTCTAAGTGAACTCCTGTGTGGGTTTAGTGACAGCCATGTTTATGAGGTTGGTTAGCTTTCAAAGAGTGGAGAGGGAGCATTGCAGAGGTCAGGACCCAGGCAGAGGGGGGCATCTGAGGCACATCCCTCCCAGATTCGCCCCCGCCCCCCGCCCAGTCACATCGTGTGCAAGTCCTTCATCTCCTCTGTCCTTCTGGACTGTGGGCCTCCCGGGGCAGGGGCTGCATTGGGTCTGACTCATCACTGTCACACCTGCAATGGGCCTGCAAGCCAGGCCCATCAAACTATATTATAAAATGCAACCAATGGAGCAAGTATTTATCAGATAACCTAGGGAGAGGTATTGTGCAAGGTGACACGTGGTGGTCAGTTAAAGGGAGGAAGAAGAAAGAGGAGGAAGGTAGATGAAAGAAGAGGGAGGGAGGGAGGAAGGAAGGAGAAAAATGAGCTTCTATGACCTATTTCCGGGCATTTGATACCCGGTCATAAAATCCATCATTTCAGGTTTCCAGCTTCCAAAAGCAGCTCAGAATCATGAGGAAATGATCTCATCACATCGGGCATTAACCTGAGAAGTTAACTGGATGGTAAAACAGTTTTGGCAATGATGCAATGTATGTAGCAGGGGATGTGCTCATGTCTCCAGCATCCCTGTCGTCACAAGGCACGGAGGTTCCCAAGTCTCCCTGCTCACAGAACCCCTCACCAGGGCTGGTCCGGTACCCTTTTCAGGGGCCAGGGAGGGTCCAGGGTGGAGGGCGTGTGAGGACAGGGGTGAGATCTGCAGAGAGGCCTTGGGGTGGGGAGGGAAATGTGGGGAAGGGTGTTGGGGCGAGAGGGAGTAAGATAGGGATAGGACAACGGTGAGTGAGGAAGGTGAGATGACTGGGGATAATGGGATGGAAGTGGTGGGGTGCCAGCACACAGGGAAAGGGCAGGGCACAGTAGTCATGTTGGCAATCATGGAAATCGTAAAGGCAGTGACACTAGAGGTTATAAATCTATTTTATCTAATTTTCACAATAATACCATGGGACAGATGCTCAGTATTATCATCTCCATTTTACAAATGGGGACACTGAGGCACAGAAAATTAAACAACTAGCCCAAGTCCACCCAGTTAATAAGCGGCAGAGCCAGGGCTCAAATCCCAGGAGTCCCCATGCACAGCCCACACTCTCACCCACCGTGTCACGCTGACACTCAGCCAGAAGGGGACATTGGGGCCCGAGAGCCAAAGCAACTTCCCTGGAGCTGCAGCCCGGCCCAGCCCAGCCCAGCCCAGCCCAGCCCAGCCCAGCCCAGCCCAGCCCGGCCAGGATGTGAATCCAGGTCTTCCCGACTTCCAAGGCTGTGCTCTCAAGCGCTGCAGGACGGGACTCCCACGACTTTGGCCTGGGTTTGCCCACAGAGGTCTAGAAGGGCTCAGCAATCATGGTAAAGAGGTCTGTGGCCTGTGCCTGGCCAGGCCGTTGGTGGCCGGGACTCACCATGAAGTAATAGAGCTGCGAGGACCTGGCCATGAACTCGGGCCGACACACAGCCACACAGATCTCCACGAAGCCGGCGTGCTGGCTGGGCTTGGCCTCCCCCATCTCACACACGATCCTGCAGGGTGGAGAGGACACACCCCCATGGGTCACAGGAGGCCTCCCTGCCGTGACCCCTGGGCCCTACACCGACCCAGGCCTCCTTCTCTGTAGTAAGATCTCAGGGATGGGCAGGGAAGGAGGAGGTGAAAGATACCTGATTCCTCCCTTCGGGGGCTCCTCCCTGGTTCTCAGGAAATGAGGAAGTGTGACCTACAGGGATCTCCTTAGAGGCTCTCGGTAAAATGTGACTTACCCAAGGGCACACAGCCATCACATAGGGACCTCGGAGCTGGGACCTAAGGTTTGCAGGTCTTCGCCTAGGAGCTCTTTGCTCCCAAGGCATGGACTGCCCCAGGCAGTGCTTTCTGCTCCCAGCCCCAGCCGGGGGGCCTGGCAGGGGAGGGGGTTTTCATTCCGGGGGGAGGGGAAAGGGTGGGGGAGAGTCATAAATTCTCCCCTTAAAAAAAATTTTTTATTGTTTCACTTACAAAATTGGTTCATACCCTTTGAAAGCGAGACAGTATCAAAATGTGACAGTAAAATAAAGTGTGCCTTTCTTCACTAATCTCTCTCAAAACTTCGGTGTATAAATCCTCGCAGACCTTTCTCTAGACCTATGCAAATATATAATATATATAATCTCCATTTTATAAATGAAGAACTGAGGCACAGAAAAGTTTGGCAACTTGCCCAAATATATAGATTTGCCCATATACCCACGTGTGTATATATATTTATGTCTGATATTATGCATGCATATAAACATAAATGTGTATATATACACATATACAATTATATACAAACGTACATATGTAAAGAAACATATACATGATCTTAAAAATAAAAGTGAAACTTAACCACCCATTATTTTTAACCCCTCCCTTTTTACTCAACAAAACAGCATGGACTTTCCCTCATGTCACAGTACGCACAGCTCCGCTTTCTTCTTTTTAACAGCTTCATGGTATTTCATAAGAGGCCTGTGTCATCATTTATTTAACCAGCCTCCTATTGTTATACATTTAACTTACCCTGATTTTTCTCCTACTCCAAATAACCCCGCAAAATGAACCAACCTACACACCTCCTTAAGCACTGCATATTTATTAAAATAGATTTCTGAGAAGGATTATTTGTGCTTTTTTTTTTTTTTTTTTTTTTTTTTTTTTGTTTTTGGGGCTCCTTATGTCTTTTTTTTTTTTTTTTTTTTTTTTGCCGTACGCGGGCCTCTCACTGTTGTGGCCTCTCCC